GAGGCAGGAGAGTAAGACTAAGATAACATTAAACATTGTACCACTGTTGTGGTGAGCATGTGGTAGAGATAAAAGTGGTGAAAACGTCGGTACTTGGCGTAACCCTGAATAGTGAGACATAAAATAATTGCCCACAAAAAGCAAGATGTAAAGTAAGAAATTGAGAACACGTAAAGACCTTATGTTATGTTAAAGGTAACTTATAGTAATTTAATCTAAGAGTAGAAATATGTTAACGTTTGTAACTGCGATTGAAGCGCAATTTACAGATATACAGAGTGTCCATTGATATGGATAGTTCCTTTTAGCATGCACTTCACAAATATCAGCAAGAATTGTCTTACTAAACATAATATGTATCTACTACGGAAAAAATGACTCAGCTGCACACATAGAACAAGACTTATCAACTATCAGGTGTATAACGAATATTGTAAAATCCTACACAAGGTGGAATTGAACAATGTTTGTGCCCCCTCATCACACTTGTGTCCTTTTGTTTGTAAAGGAGCACAGACAAAGGATAACATCAAGTGATTGTGTGTGATAATACTGTAATTTACCTGGGGACCTCAGGCTATTATATTTATGTCGATAATCAAAGACTAGAGATTAGGCGGTATGACAGGCTGAGCGGCGCCCAGTAATACTGTAGTCAGTCGGCTGTTTCGTACCTACTTTATCGGTCGATATTTGACCAAACATTAAAATAAACGCTGATTATCTTAAAATTTATTCCGCTTTTATTTTTATTCCCACTCTCGATTCCTTGCTAGCAGTCCGGTTAATTTAGTACCTTTAGTGGGTCTCATTTAATCATTAGCTCTAATTAAAGAACCTCTCAGTCTCACCCTCTCAGATTTTCACCGCTCCGTTCATTTTTATAGCTTTATTATTTTTATCTTTTTACTACACTTACTAACACGTGCATATTACAAAGGAGCAATAGTTTGCGGAGGCATTCTAGAACGATATATATTTTAGCTTTCAGTTTCTGTTTCATTATCTTAAAATTTATTCCGCTTTTATTTTTATTCCCACTCTCGATTCCTTGCTAGCAGTCCGGTTAATTTAGTACCTTTAGTGGGTCTCATTTAATCATTAGCTCTAATTAAAGAACCTCTCACCCTCTGCATATTACAAAGGAGCAATAGTTTGCGGAGGCATTCTAGAACGATATATATTTTAGCTTTCAGTTTCTGTTTCATTATCTTAAAATTTATTCCGCTTTTATTTTTATTCCCACTCTCGATTCCTTGCTAGCAGTCCGGTTAATTTAGTACCTTTAGTGGGTCTCATTTAATCATTAGCTCTAATTAAAGAACCTCTCACCCTCTGCATATTACAAAGGAGCAATAGTTTGCGGAGGCATTCTAGAACGATATATATTTTAGCTTTCAGTTTCTGTTTCATTATCTTAAAATTTATTCCGCTTTTATTTTTATTCCCACTCTCGATTCCTTGCTAGCAGTCCGGTTAATTTAGTACCTTTAGTGGGTCTCATTTAATCATTAGCTCTAATTAAAGAACCTCTCACCCTCTGCATATTACAAAGGAGCAATAGTTTGCGGAGGCATTCTAGAACGATATATATTTTAGCTTTCAGTTTCTGTTTCATTATCTTAAAATTTATTCCGCTTTTATTTTTATTCCCACTCTCGATTCTTTGCTAGCAGTCCGGTTAATTTAGTACCTTTAGTGGGTCTCATTTAATCATTAGCTCTAATTAAAGAACCTCTCACCCTCTGCATATTACAAAGGAGCAATAGTTTGCGGAGGCATTCTAGAACGATATATATTTTAGCTTTCAGTTTCTGTTTCATTATCTTAAAATTTATTCCGCTTTTATTTTTATTCCCACTCTCGATTCTTTGCTAGCAGTCCGGTTAATTTAGTACCTTTAGTGGGTCTCATTTAATCATTAGCTCTAATTAAAGAACCTCTCACCCTCTCCGTTTGGAGATATTCCTTATTACGCTCTAAGTTATTAATTTTCCTTGTGTTTGAATCCTGTCACTTTTTAACTGTTTTTAGTCTTTATTATTTTCGGCCGATTTTCGCACTTTTACACTGGGTCATCATTCATAATTTCTGGGATTGAGACGACTTATATCAGCATTTAAGGAAGAGTTTGCTTGTCTGACTTACTTCATTAGACACTTCTGGTCAAGAATTGAACAAGAACCACATTCGAAAACTGGAACATCTGAATGACTCCGCAACCCAGGAATCAACTACTCAGTTATTAATATTATCGCTCAATAATCGGTTTGGTATCGACGTTACATACTTTATTATTTTTTTAAAAAAGCTGATTTTAGAAACCAGGGAATTAAAGTTACCCTCCTAAGGCTAACATTAAATCGCTGATTTTATTTATATATATCACTTTTTTTTGTTCTTTCTTTTCCTTCAAAACATTCCAGTACATTGTGCAGAAAGTTGGAGATGAAGCCGTAGTACGTACATGTAGCATTGCACTGGATCGAACTTGCAGAGTGTGGTTTCCTCCAGTCTGCGCCGCGCGCTTATATAAACATACGCGGCGCAGATCGACTGGAGGAGATTGCACTGTGTAGGCTCCGGTGTAATGTGATATGTATGTACTACGGCTTTACAAATTTTGGAAGCATGTAGGGATATATATCTGATACCAATCGTATATACTAAAAATACTCTAGCACAATTGTAACTGCAGTTTTACAGAACTCTAAATGCTTAATGAACACTCTTGCAGGTACCACCCGTATTCACACTCAGACCTGAGTTTAGTCATTTTCCGATACGAGATTGGGGACGGGTTCTATAAACAAACAAACAAACAAACAAAATAAACGCTTGAATGTATCCAAAACCATTAACACGAATTGCGCCTCTTTTTTCGTTATGCTGGACGCCAAATGTAAATTTACATTCACCACAAGCTCCGATCAGTTAACGTCATAATATTATGCTTTAAATACGGGGGCTTGAAATGATTGTGGAAATTGTTAAGAGAAAATATCTTGAAAGTTCTGTTATGATTGCATGAATAGAAATGAATGTCTTTAATCTTTATACAGTTCGATCATGCACATATTGATTTGTCAGATCGTTACCATTGTTCAAGATGTCAAATAAAACGACAAATATTAAAATGCAAGGCAATTCATGATGTTGATAAATTGCAATTTTACGAATTGTAAAGACGTGTAATGTTGTAAATGTAAACTAGCACATGTGTTCGTGCTTGCAGATTCCATCAGGACATAGTGTCGTGCCCCCAGGACAGCCATAATCTCCACCATCATCTCCACCATCATCGTCACCGTCATCTTCACCGTCAGTACAATATTTACATGTCTTCTGGCAGTATTCCTCGGCTATTTAGTCCCCTGCTGTCATTTCCGCCTCCGGCGGTCGCGCGCTATTGCAAGCGAGAGGGCTATAGACATAGTTAGAGCAACACATCGCGCCACAAGCCAAATATTTATCAACATCTTGACTAGCTACGCGGTCCTTTTCCGCATGCGCTCGCGCTTTGCTCAAAAATTGACGTCGTCAATCAATCAACATCAAGATTTTAGTTTTACATTTGACCTTTATGTCAAAAAATCTCTGAATTTTCAATCGGTGGTCGATGTTACCTGAGGGCCTCAGGCTTCGTCCTTACTTCGTCACAGGACGATCGGAGCTCGAAGAGCGTAGAGAGTGCTGGCGTCGTCCTGTAATGGTCGACGTATTTTTGCTTGCTGGGATCCGGCCGAATGACGCCACATGCAACGTGTAGGGTAAAACTAAAAACGCTTCCCTATATGAGATAATATGACAAAAATTGTTTTGGTCACGTGACCAGCCAATGACATTGATATTTCGCTTCTGACGGTTTGGTGGAGGGTTAGGGTCAACGTTTATACATTATAGGGTCAAAGTTAGGACTAGAGTTGTACACTATTGACATTGTGAGGGTAATGGTTAAGGTTTATCACTAGCGACCTTTTCATCTGATCGACCACAATATCGCAAAATGCTATGTTGTATGTCACGTGACAAATTTAGCCGAGGCTCGGAAGTCGGAAGTCGGAAGTCAGTGGACTCTGTTGGAAGCCGGCGGACTCCGAGCGGACGCCGAGCCCGGTGGACTCCGCCGAGCTCCGCCGGACTCCGCCGGATTCAAGTCCGGCGGAGAGGTCCGCGGCTGATCTGCCGACCTCTCCGCCGGAGTCCGCCGCGGAGTCCACTCCACATCCTGGCTTAGTCCGCGGCGGACACTCCACCGACCCGCCGCGGAGCCGCTCGGAGTCCGCGGCGGACTTTAAAGTCCGCTTGGAGTCCGCTTGGGTCCGCTTGGAGTCCGCCAGAATAGTTTCGAGTCCAAACGAAATATATTTTGGCGGAGCTCCGCCGCGGAGTCCACTCCACGACGGATAGTGCCACTTTAAGTACTGTATTTAATCTGCCTCTAACTTTCATTCCTCTATACTTTTTGATATAACATATGACACTGATAAAAATACATCAATAAGATCATCAATGATGTCTTCAATAAAATTTCTGGTAATAATTGTTCATCTAGGCCCTGCTCAGGTCAGAGTATCAGTACAGATACAGTATGCCACATGCTCTCCAACGCTGACAGATACATTCAATACAAATCTACCAAGGTATTGCAAATTTGAAATTAATTTGCTGATATTATCCCTCTACTGAAAGTTGGGGCCTTGTCAAACATTCCGTTCACTTCTTGATTAATAGAGTTAATAGGTTGTGTACAGCATATTTAAGAGATGGGTAAAATGTACATAATCCACGTTATTACAAGGGATATTGCAAGAGAAAGCTACAGTATCATGTTTAACACCATATATGGGATAATAACGTCAATATCATTTACTTTTTGTTAAAGAACCGTTTCACTTTCATAGTCAGGTTGATGCACAAGATGTTGGCTGGCCAATTATGCTTAAATTAACTTTTCTTAATGTAAAGTTAATGTAAGCATTAACTTACATTAATAATCATTAAGAATCTAGGAAAGGCAATTTCTGGTAGCCACTATTGACACCATTGGAAATAATTTTCTTGCGGTTAAAAGCAACAAGTCCTATCAACACTATACACAGTCCACTAAGTCCTGTCATTATTACAAACAGGTTAAAGTCCAACAGAACTTTGTTCTCATCTGCTAGTTTTGCCGCCACCGCCAAATCCACATTCTTCTCCGAGATACATTGATAGGTCAATGAGGTGGAGTCATTCATCGGTTGTACATTATCATTATCGTTACCTCTTGTAGAGACAATGACATCATCCACTGTAGAAATGATGACGTCATCATTTGTGGTATTAGTTCCGAAACACATAACAGATCGGTCACACTGTCCCAGAGTGCCCCGGACGATGTCAAGTAGCTCATCTCTCGTGCACCCCTCCTCTGATGATGCACACGCCGTTATCTTTACTTCTCTCTCATTCAAATATATCTTGATAATATCCTGTTCTGATGATGAGTTCCTAAAGACAACGAACCCCATATTAGTTGCAAAAGGGTCTAGCTCGCTCATCTTTGTTGTTCTATTCCAGAAGTCCTCCTTATCCCAAGTGTAGATAATATTGTCCTGATCCTTGTTGATACCCAGCAGGGTGATAAGGGAGACTATAGTCTCACTATGAGCGAACCGCAGGGCGGTAGCAGATTCCTCACTCTCAAACTCTCTCAACACATCCTTCAGTACCACACATGACAGTTCGTAACCAAGTTTGTTAGGATAACTGGATCTGTAGTACCTGTCCAGATCACGCGAGTAGTCCAACAGAGCGAAGGCTGATCTCGGGATCAGGTCACAGAAAGAGGAGTTGTTTGACTCGGTTGGAGAGATGTGCTCAAAGTTACAGAGGTTGTAAAGACCCTCTGCGTCCTCTACTGTTAAAGAGAAACCGGCTCGCTCGGATATGGGATCTAGGACTAACTTCTTGTATTTCTCTGATTTCTTAAGTTTAGTTTTTTCTAATCGTCCGTTCTTAGTCGTAGGACAGTTTGTTAAAGCGGGACAATTATCCATGAAGCGTAAAAGTTTATCTTCATCCGCACTTTCAATCTCAAGTCCGACAGGCTGAAATCCGTCTGTAGATAGATTTGTAGGTGACGAGAATTGATTAAGAGGACCCATACCTTCAAAAATTCCAAATAAGAAGGAGGCAGCACTTTGACTTGCTCTAAGAATGTTGGTACTCCTGATATGATATTTGGTTGGATAGTAAGGCGGGAAGAAGGCAGGAAACTTCTTTTTGTATCTTTGAGCTAGATGATAATGTTCCAACATCCCTTGCGGCACCAGATGACGATCTGGAAAATAATATGGCCGTTTCCAGGTCCGTAGCCAAGGAAGCCTTTGATTCCTTCGTCCTCCAGCAGAATCTTGTCCAGAAATTTCTCCATTGATATCACATATTCAGCATACATATTTCTACTGCCGTGTCTAGCAATAAGGTAAAACCTAGTTGGGACTAGTTGATCACTCCATTGAACTTTAGTTATGTCACCTCGAGAATATTCGTACGGGGTGTGGGTTGAGAAGTCCTTATATGGTAGTGTAGGGGGGAGGCAGGAGAGTAAGACTAAGATAACATTTAACATTGTACCACTGTTGTGGTGAGCATGTGGTAGAGATAAAAGTGGTGAAAACGTCGGTACTTGACGTAACCCTGAATAGTGAGACATAAAACAATTGCCCACAAAAAGCAAGATGTAAAGTAAGAAATTGAGAACACGTAAAGACCTTATGTTATGTTAAGGTAACTTATAGTAATTTAATCTAAGAGTAGAAATATGTTAACGTTTGTAACTGCGATTGAAGCGCAATATACAGATATACAGAGTGTCCATTGATATGGATAGTTCCTTTTAGCATGCACTTCACAAATATCAGCAAGAATTGTCTTACTAAACATAATATGTATCTACTACGGAAAAAATGACTCAGCTGCACACATAGAACAAGACTTATCAACTATCAAGTTTATAACGAATATTGTAAAATCCTACACAAGGTGGAATTGAACAATATTTGTGCCCCCTCATCACACTTGTGTCCTTTTGTTTGTAAAGGAGCATAGACAAAGGATAACATCGAGGGATTGTGTGTGATAATACTGTAGTTTACCTGGGGACCTCAGGCTATTATATTTATGTCGATAATCATAGACTAGAGATTAGGCGGAATGACAGGCTGAGCGGCGCCCAGTAATACTGCAGTCAGTCGGCTGTTTCGTACCTACTTTATCGGTCGATATTTGACCAAACATTAAAATAAACGCTTGAATGTATCCAAAACCATTAACACGAATTGCGCCTCTTTTTTCGTTATGCTGGACGCCAAATGTAAATTTACATTCACTACAAGCTCCGATCAGTTAACGTCATAATATTATGCTTTAAATACGGGGGCTTGAAATGATTGTGGAAATTGTTGAAAGAAAATATCTTGAAAGTTCTGTAACGATTGCATGAATAGAAATGGATGTCTTTTATCATTATACAGTTCGATCATGCAAATATTGATTTGTCAGATCGTTACCATTGTTCAAGATGTCAAATAAAACGACAAATATTAAAATGCAAGGCAATTCATGATGTTGATAAATTGCAATTTTACGAATTGTAAAGACGTGTAATGTTGTAAACTAGCACATGTGTTCGTGTCTGCAGATTCCATCAGGACATAGTGTCGTGCCCCCAGGACAGCCATCATCTCCACCATCATCTCCACCATCATCGTCACCGTCATCTTCACCGTCAGTACAATATTTACATGTCTTCTGACAGTATTCCTCGGCTATGTAGTCCCCTGCTGTGCACCAATCCTTATCACAGGTTGGATGACTATCTTTGCAGTTAGGATCAGGGATAGGATCAGGACGTGGAGGGGAAGTAGGTTCCGGTTTGGCTTTGTCATCGTCAACAACACCAGTACGAGTCAGACTGGGATAACTGCTGTGATTCCACAGATGACAGTTGTGGTGGTTTCGTGTAAACTTCACGTATCCAGCATCTCCCCAGTATTCACCCCAAGAGTTCTTTACCAGAACGTAGTCCTTAGTGTATCCCACTGCAGTGACTGCATGGTTAGGATATCCCCTGCACGTGTGGTCTGTGAAGATTCCATTGCTGTAACTTTGGAATCTGTTGGTGACCTCAAAGGCTACAGCAAGAGACCCGTGTGCCAGAGCATCGATGTTAGACTGTTCACTTTGTGCAACGGGAACATTCCCTGCGATTTTTGCGGCGATCATGGCATCAGGCTTGATGGAAGCCTGGCAGTACCCATCTTGTTGAGTGTATGGGTAATCTGCTGCCCTAGCAAGTCGTCCTCCAGCTCTAGCTGAATATTCGTAGGCATCCTTCATCCAACCTCCCCTACACCCGTTTCTCCTTCCTTCGTAGACACAGTCCAGATACTCCTGCTCAGAGAAGGTCTTCAGAATTCCAGCTATTCTAGCGTATCTCGTCTCCAAACCACCAACTGCTCCGAAGGTCCAGCAGGATCCGCAAAGCCCTTGGTTTCTTACAGCAGTCACTTTACCTTCATCAGTCCACAGTTTTTCATCTGGGGTCTTATCATTTTTAAGACCAGAGTTTATTTTAGGGAGAGGGTTTGGTTCTGCACCGGTAGCGTTAAACCCTAGCCAGGATTGTTTCTCGGATTCAGTCAACGTGGAGAAGAAGTTAAGAGCGAACGCTGCCGTCTCTCCTTCAGCAGAATTTTCTTCTGCCACAAACTCTGCACTTTTTCTGAACAGTCGGAATCTCATTCGATCTTCAGCTGCTTGAAAAGAGAGTTGCTGCTCGCCTTTAAAGGAATTGTAGAGCTTCAGAGTTTCCACAGGTGATCGTAGAATTGCTCTAAGCGGGGACTCCTTAGCCAGGGCAGCTCCGACAAGGAATAGGAAGAAGAGGATCTTCATTTTGTCTGCAATACTCGAACGTTTCTGTTGGTCTGTACTGATATCTCACGATCTAGCTCGACCCTTAAATATGTACCCTGATCCAGCCAGATGGACTACTAATCAAGCAATTCTCACTGTAGAACAATGCAAGGGTGTTAGGTCCATTGACGTCTCCTGAGTTTTATTCCTTAAACTTCATTAACGCTGTACTTAACACGTTTCCATTTGATTATGATATGCTAATAGTATGACTAATATTTTGGACTGAGGGTTTGTAAAGTTGAAGTATATTTTTCCCAAGCTGTAGAACCCGTGTCTTCACGGAAAAAAAGACGTACAGAAACATCTGTCAGCTCACAGCCATGTAAAAACATGTACAGCAGCTCTAAAATTAAATTAATTAAAAGCAGCTGACTCTCTTTGTAGGGTATTTGAATGGAACACTCCTTTTAGGTACAACTATTTTAGGTACAACTTGAACTTCCCATTATTTATTAATGTCCGTTCAAAGAAGGTCTGATAAGGTAGCTTATCTTACTATATAAAGCGAGAAGATATATATGGATGGATGTGTTTATCCGTACCATTTTACTGACACCACGGCATTAACTAATTTAACGCGACTTTCCGCAAAAGCCGTAAAAGATATACGAGAATTGCGGCAAATTAAACACCATAATGTTTCTGCTTAGCTCCTCCTCTACTACAAGCTGTTTAGCTACTGTCTTATAAGGGTTTCGTGCGAGATGACTGCCCGCGATATCTTCATTTCATACAGTGAAACAAGCTGGTATGAACAGTACAAGAGTACAAGGCTACAGTTACACAAACTTACTACACATTCAATCGAAGGTATAGCTAGTTCCTCAAGATTTACTGTTTAATCTTAATACTAATAAGTTTGTTTTGTTTCTGGTCTATGAACACATTATCACAACCATCTGGAGATCGGTTAACACCGAGCAGCTTAAAGGAAGAAACGTTCGTTGTTAAAACAGCTTCTGCCAAAGAATTCTTACAATCAGACAATGAAGAATCTGAGACCGCGGATAGTTTCGTAGACAGTCTTACTGTAAAAGAAGGCTCAACACCTCTCACTCGAGTGACACCATATTTAGAGCCGGCAGCACCAACTCTCGCAGAGGAAGGAGTACGCGGAAACAATCCTGATACAATCCATCAGGCACAGAGTCCTGTGACTGACAGAACCAGCTCTCCGCAGTTTGAAGAAAGGTCGGACACTGCTGCTTCTCCAACAATCTCTATCAATGATCCAGTCCTCAACGGAGAGACTCCAGCTAGTTCTACCGGCCCAATTACACCCAGCACTTACGTTAGTGATGAGTCACCATTTGCAGTTAACCTCAACAGAGCAGACGGTGTGCCATCAAGAGTTAGCACTTGTTGGCCTGGTACCTGCACTGATTGTTGTTGTCATGGTTACAGCGAGGGGGAGGAAGATGAAGATGCTTGTTTCCCTTTCTTGACTGATTTCTTTAGATGGCTTCCATTCTTTACAGTGTTTAGAGTACGCAAAAAATCGCCGGTTTCACTCATTTCGCCTGATCCGTCAATTAAAGGACATGATTTAGAGACAGAATACCAGGAATCTGCTGCAGGTGAAGAGACAGAAATCCCAGTGAAAGTTGATAGTAAAAATGAACATGAGATAGAGCCGATACCAGATCATACGAGCTCTTGTTCCAGTAGGTCCAGTGCGTGGACACTGACACGTATAAAAGCGGAGATCATTGTCGACAAAGCGGATATTGAGGTGCAAGATTTTTCGGTAACAGAAAATGCTTCTCAAAATACTGAACCTCCGTCGGAAAGTGATCCTACAAACATACAACTTTCATCGGATAACATTTCCGAGATGACTGAAACTTCTTTCAACATAAAGACAAATCCAAGTGTATCGCCAGAGACGTTACAAGTACAACCTGTTGGACCAGTCCAGTGGAATGAAGTATTCAGCTTCAAGGGGATCAAGAAAAAGTTGTCTCTTTATAAAGAGATGTTGTTATCACCATTTGTGGATGACAATGAAGGTAGAGGCATGCCTTCAGAAGATGCAGTAGAGGACCAAACACCGAGCCCTGTGGTATTTCAGGAGCCAGGTCCGACGAATCTAGTGTCACCAATTGGAGATCCGGACGAATTTGAGAGACCTGACGATATTTTCAGTGACACCAAGAAATCAAAGAAAAAGGGATTGAAATCCAAAATCAAACGCTGGTTTAAGTTTAACTTAAGATCAAAGAGAATGAGACAGAAGTACAAGTCAAAGGACAGTCTCAATTAATATAAATGCAGGGAGCAGTTATATTGCAGATAAGAAACCGTTTTTCAAAACTTTTATGAGCGATTTAGCTAACTTAATTCCTTGTCTTTCACCAAAAAGAGCTTGAAGATCCAATTTACAAACCGAATCTGATCTAGTCTAAAATAGTGACATGTTTCACTTGACTATTAAAAAAAGAAGAAAAAGTTATTCTTTGTAGTTCAATTTGTAGTTGTACGAAGGTGTTCCAATTTTGAAATTAGTTTGATTTTGATCCGAGTAGTAATTGGGAAACCCCTGCACTGAAATTTAAAAATGCCTTTCCTTAATCGATACGATTTGTATACCCATTTTGGAGTAAATCAAGTTAGTAAGTTATCATGTAGCATCTATGGCGAAAATGTGAAATGGCAAATAATATTTTTGCCATCGAGATGCACATTTCAGCAGATTCACCATATGGTGAAAATGACATTCCCTAATGCATTACTTTATATGATGCACATTTCAAACACCGAAACCTTACTGACTGTACCTCTAGTGCCCACCTAAAACTATATAATCTTCATAAATTCTCTCAGCTCCTCTAATAAGCTTTAAAATTATGCTTTTAGTGGAAACGATTACAATAATTATTGTGTGCCACTTAAGTGGCATTAACTAATGTCGAACAATTAATGATAATGGCATAATCATGATAATGAATTATTGGCAGCTATCAGATACTATCCCACACGCCATTTCATATCATGACATCATTGTTATGGTAACAACCCCTAAAGTTAAACGAAGCATCCTGTCTCTACATTCCGTCACAAGCACGCAGATATTCGTCACTCAGTACAAAAGATCGAGTTGCAGTTTTACATAGTCAGATCGATTGCTTGCCACTTATCGCGTGCATTGTCTCTAGAAAGCGCGCTAACAGGGTGGATTATTTTTAGAATTTAAAATATCAGATCAGAGCATATAATATCAGTACTTGCGAGACGGACTGCAGTTTATTGTCAGTTGACGTTGCTAAGGGCGAAAACAAGAAGCTCTCTCTCACTCTCACAGATAGGTATCTAGTTATATCTTGTTATATGTTGTATTGTTTTGATATTATCTCATTATTTATTTGGTTTGGGCATCTTTCTTGTACAAGGTAGTAAAGTACTGATGATGATGGTGTACTACAGTTTGAGTAGTTTGTGTCTGCTGTAAAAGTTGAGATTATCAGAACTTGCCTTAACGTGATGTTAAAGTCATTCGATTTTATTCCTCATATTTTTAAACGTTGACGGCGAACTGAGGAATGATTTACTTTCGGCGGTTGCACGATATTGTGATTTGAATCATAAAAGTTGCGGGATCGTGTAATTTGCTACACCTTAACAGAACCTTTAAGTTTAATAGTAAACAGAGCACAATGTTTGGATAATTAAATCCAGGGTAAATTTGAGCAGATTTGATGCTTTATTCCTGTTATAAAAAGTCTTACTAAAGTTCCAGTGGTGCATGAATAGCTAAAAAGGGTCAAGCTCGGTTCAGATTATTAATTATTTCACTCCCTACTCTTTCAAACTTCCATCAAACTTCTGCTATATCTGAGCTTCCGGAAAGCACATATAAATATCAAAATAACATGGTTCCTATTTAAACACGTATTTTAACGTCCACGCTGATTTTTTCCACCCATGAAATGCTTTAGTGACTCTGCCTCGGGAAATGCATGACTCTCAACCATCCTTGTTCAAACGTTTGAAATACTACAGAGTATAGAGCACCATCCCCAAACTAAGCTAAACTCTCCAAATTCTTTCCCATCCATTCTCCCCACAGAAAGAAATGGGTTGTGGATCCTCCGTTGCAGTACTTCCTGAACATGCGATCACGTATGATAACGAGATTCTAGATAAGGCCGGCTCCAAAGATGTGAAGTCGAGTGAAAGTTATGATTCTGGAGTCGGGTACGAGCTCGGATCTAAAGAGTCTTCGTCAGTAAGTGATGACTCTCTGCCAGGTTCGTTTTAGACAATCAATCGCTTTTTTAAAATGTTATTTGTAAAAGTGAACTTGATCAATGAACACAATAAAACCTGTGCACCCTGGATTTTAAAAGATTGATATTTATTATAATTTATAGAACTTATCCCTCTGTTCACTCCTCATACCCAACCTCCTCAGACATCAGACACTTGAATGGTCCCACGTTTGCGGACAGGAAGCCACTTCCACCTCATCCGTTCGAGGCCACCTTTACAGAGAGGCGGTTCCCTTCCCTCCGCCTCCCCAACGAGGTCAACAACGAGGTGGAGAACATGCTCCAACCTAAAGATAAATCAGCAGGTCAGCATCTTATATTATTTGTAGTTATGTAATTTAATTTTAAATAAGTTGTAATTCATCTCGTTGACTGGTATGATTTTATTTTCATACAGCTATTTCGTGAATCGTTGAATTTTTCTAGAATATTGTGATGATTATGATTTATGATCAAATGATTGTTGATGTACGTCAATGAGCGGCTATAAATCATTGTTGTGACTTTCGGAAGATGGCGTACTTCTTAACTCGTCAATTGATCGCACTGATTATGCAGATAAACATATTTCTCAGAGATTTTGATAATCAGGCGTCTCTTCGCAGTCGATGCTTGTTGATTAATAACGCGCTTAAAATTCACTGCATGTTTAGATGGTTTAAAACTTGAGGAAAGCTAAATGAACTCGAGTAAGTCGATAATGTGCAATCGGCCGATCATGAACATTCCAACTCTCAATGGATGCAAATACAGGGAGAACAGAAATTACGATACCATCAATTCGTCATTTATCAAAATCTTTGAGCGATATCGGACATCGGTTGATAATTGACATAATATTCAAAATCAAAATGTAGTCAAGGTTTTTTTTCTTACAGAAAATTTGGAGTTCGTTTGCGAAGAGTCAGAAACCACACAAATCGCTTTTATTGAGTCCCTGCCACGCCCTCCGACTCCAGGTTCAAAATCTCTGAGAATATGTCATTTGGCGTGATTTTTATATTAATATGGGGCCCTTGGTTTAATATTAATAACTTAATTTCCAAATCATAAATGTTTAATAATCAAAGATTCACACTAGCAGTTGATAATTTTGAATCGATTTGTTAAACCGCCATATCATCCCTCAGAGTTTATGATATCTGGCCAGCCATTGAGACCACTGAGGGGAATGCCTGTAAAAGCTAGTTCATCGAAGAGAAACGATATTGAGACAGCTACCATTCAGGCTAAGAGACAAATCGTTCCTGGCACCCCGAAAGGAGATCGTCTCCTCTACGATCTTCACCGTAAGTTCTAGCTACAGGAGATCATAGTTAATGACTTAAAGTTAAAAGATCGCTGTGTGGAACTGTTATTGTTACCAGTATAAACGAAAACAGTATTACTAATAACAACTTGTCTCATGTTACGTTACCTGTTCTGTTGTTGACACAGTCTTATGAACCAATAACTATGATTTTATTCCTGGATAAATACCTCTAAAACATTTTACACTTTCCTAGGATCAGCAGATCACGACACACAAATAGCAGCCCGACCCCCAAGCAGGGGTGGACTTGCTTTCGACCTAGTCTTCGGAGAGGAACAGGTTAGTCCCACCATATATTACTCGTGTTTTACACATTTTTAGCCGAGAAATAAATTACATATTGCAACCAGTACTTATGATACACTGGATTACTTATAACTGGATTTAGGGCCCTCTTTATTACAAAACTATCCACTATTAGGAACTTCAAGATCGAGTAGAGAAATTGAAGAAACGTCAGAAGGTCAAAGCTCCTAAAACACACAGGAAAGTGACTAGATCACAGGTGCAGAAGAAACTGATTGAGGCCGAACTCAGGCGACAACAGCAAACGGTATGTTTTTACTAAATCAGTTCTACTTATAACGAACTTTATTTATCTAGAGCGTAGTTTCATTTGATAAAATCATAATTTTAACATTTAAACTTAAAACTGCCGTATTTTCATATTACAATTCGTTAAACCAATTATTTTTCACAGCTGGACACGATCACCAAATTGTCAGAGACACATAGCAACGTAGATGAGATCGGACAGAAAACCAACAAAATGGAGGAAATGAAACGCATGGAAATGAAACGAGTAAGTTTGGTGTAAGATACAGCAACAATATTTTGTGCTGCTTTTGTGTTAGATATTTAGTTCCAAGTCATATAGAATAAGAGTGCTCATAAATAATCCACCATAAACCACCAGGCTCAACAAGAAGCGATGGACAAAGCACTGGCTGCCCGAAAGCAGCACCTTACCGAAATGAGGGATCGTATCCGAGCTAAGAACGACAAGATTAAGCACGCCAACCAAAACAGATTCGCTGGAAGACCTCCTACCTCCGACGGAAGGAAGAGCTCCACTCAGCTGCCATCTTTACTTGGATTCTAATTTTCTAATGGGTGAGTGGAAATGGTTGAAGGGGGTTGGGGCGAACTTTTGGTTTTTGGTATGTTGGATATGTTGGATATATTAAGAAATGGATGACTCAGGGATTCGTTATATCGTATCGATGAAGGATTGGAGTAAACTGAAAAGGTTATGGAAGTTTATAATGAGATTTACAGTGGCTATGGGAAAAATGGGATTTACAATAAGTAAACTGGATATTGGAAGTTGTTTTAAGCAGATGTACTGCTGTATTGTAATTGTATGTTAATGAATTATTTGTAGACATTTTGTACTTTTGTATAAACACTTGAGACTATTTTGTACACCGAAATATTTGCGAGTATGTTTTTATTAACACCTGGTCGTTTAACGCATTTAGACAACTCTATTTTCTAAATTCTAAAAATAAAATACATTAACAAATGTAGTCAAAAGTTGTATAAAATCAACGTAGCTAAAAATAAAAAAAATCTGAAAAAGTAACCAAAGTCACATCATACATAGTATCAATACTTATAGTGTTATTAACAATAATTATCAATTAATTTAATTTACATTTTATCCATTTTTACATAATTATTTTTTTGATAAATCCCGTTATGCCATAATCAGGAGTAGAATGCTTACGGCCAAGTCTTTCAGTGATTGGTTTAAGGCCAATTAAAGTCTTCAATCGTCCCTCCAAAATAAAGAAATCTAGTGCATTATTTTTATCAATGAAGTCCAAGTGAGTGACTGCTAAGGTCTCCTGAATTTGGATGCATTGAACAGACCCTGTTCAATTTCACGATGAAAATGTTAATCGCACCAACACTACCCTGCAAAATATAAGCTGAATCTCATACTCACTCCCCAATCTCAACTCATAATCATTCTTCACTTAACTGGAGGTATTAAGACTGATAAAGTTCCACTGAGGATATAACAACCCACGGTACTAACTCTCAGCGTTTCCCTGAACATTCTCCTTAGAAGAATCCTCCTCACTAAGATCCGCCAACTCTTTAGTGATCCTATACAGCTCGTACGCACTGACTGACTTCTTCTCCCCGAACATGTCCTGTATTTGGGCATGTTTCTCAGCTTCCCTCTTAAACTTGTTCAGGTGCTCTATCCTCTCCCTTTCCTCCTCTTCCCCTATATCCCACAAGTCTACTGAGGAGCCGGAGGATCGGATTGAGAGGGGTTGTTGGTTTATCTCGCATCTCTCAAAGTTAGAATAGCTGCTCCTCCGTTCGTAGAGGGGCGAGTTGTAGGACTTGTGTTTGGAGGTGGGAGAGCTGGTGAGACTATTTTCAGCTGAAGAGTGCGCAGAGTCTGCGCTCAGACTCTCTAACAGGCCAGGTCGTTTTGACTGCTTTTGTAGCTGCTCTTCTGCTAGCATCAGATCAAACTCTGCTGTGGAAAGCTTATCCGACAGGTTCGTGCATTCTCGACCCTTCAATTTGTACAGGCCGTTCAGCTCTTCAAAGCTTTTCTCCAAAGACACAAACCGCTCCAACAGATCCATATAAGCCTGGTCCTTCTGCTTCAAACAGTTCTCAGTATTGTCAAGCTTCTCTTTAGAAAACTCTATCTTCTGCGTCAGTTCATACTCCACAATATCTTTATCTAGCTTCACAGACCTAAGCTGAGTTTTCATCTCATCAACCTCAAACTCAGTGTTCTCGATAAACTTCTCCTTGTCCTCCAGCTGATCGTCAAGGTACTGTATCTGTCCCTCCAGGTCCCGTATCTTGATATCAGCCTCCTTACACCCGATACACTCCTCCGGTGCTTGCTCCTCCGCGTAGTAGGTAGATGGGACCAGCTCGTCATCAAAGTACCCCTGAACCTCCTGATCGTAGTCGTAGTCCTCCTCAGGAGCATGGTAAGAGTGGTACCTCTGCAGGGCTGGGTGGCTCTCTCTCTTGTCCTGGACATCAGACATGTCGTGGTAGGACATGGACCGTCTCCGGAGAGTCTTGTTACTGTCCACACTCTCCATATGGTGGTGTTGGTATTCCTGGGTGAAGTCTGTTACACTGTTAGCTCGGATCGTCCTCACTGTCGTGTCCAGATCTTCATCATCCTCCTCCTCATCGTCGTCATCAAAGTTGGGGTGATCAAACACTGAGTCAGGACGTCTCACTTCAAAGACGGAGTCAGTTCTGGTGGTGTCTGGAGAGGTCCTGGCACTGTCCACACCATAGAAACTGACACGTGACCTAGTTGCTCCTGTCACGTGTCTCAGGTTCTCTAACACGGGCGTGTTGTGTCTCAACAGAAAATGTTGTGTACTAGCGTTCTCTATCCGCTCCTCTGCCAGGTCGTTCTCTATCCGGTATATTTTCTGAGAGAGATACTCATTATCTTCTCTACTCTCCTCGAGGTGCTCATTTAACAGTTCAACCTCCTCTGTGTACGCTGCTATCTGAGCTCGTAGTTCCTCGTTTTGTTTCTCAATGTCTGACCTGTAGTGGACATCGTAGTGGCCCAGTCTTGACATACTCTCCGGTTCATTGTGACATTTTACGACCTGGTAGTTAAATAAATTAGACGACATTAACTTGACTAGTGATTATCAATGTTCGAGAAAATTGAATTGTAAAACATATGGATATAAACATTGGTGATTGCGAACATTGCCTCAATGAATCGCTTTTTTAATCTTTTCATCTACCGTACTTCCGGCATCGCGGTTAATTACAGACAATGGCTTGAGAGATGATCGAGGCTGACTAAACTTATGGCTCATCGTATTGCTCAAGCTACAAAGTACAAAGCTACAAAACGCTAAAAAGCTATAATAACACAGTACACACCAATAAACAAGTGGTTTTACTGCTGGTCAAGAAAGCAGTATAGCGACGTTTTGACACAAAGAAATTGTACGTAGGATAATGTTAGCGGTTTAAGAACTTTCTATAGTAGACTTTTGTCATTAAACGGTTTAGATTTGGTGAGCAAAAATACAAACATTTCGATCGTTTTATCAAGCATATGGATATTAATAATAGCCAAAAATATGCCGCAAGGCGATCACTTCTCTAATATTGAGATGTGACAGAAGAGTGTCACATATGATAATATAAGGGTTTAGCACTACTAAAGTATGAAGTAGGTATACAGTGGTAGAGTGGGGTGGAGATGATGTTTTTTGATTGGTTTGTAACATCAACAAACCAGGATCACAGAGCGCATGTTTGTGGTTTAACAGCTGACGAGTAACAATGTAAGAAGTTTACTGAGATTGTTTGTGTATGTTAGAGCTGTGTTATAGACACGTCATGACAACAGAGGAATAGTCAGTGCTGCAATTTGGCAGTATATAACACCTTTTAATTGTATTGATAGTGCAGGTGATTAGTGAGCCAATAATCATTGTTATACTGTTATGTCGGTGTGTATGATTACTGATTAGTAGGTTGCGAGTAGGATCATGGGAGGTGGGACAGGATGCTATTTATAAAATATAAATATATACACCATTATTCATAAACCGTTGGTTTTGTTATGAGTATGACCCTTCTTTGATCTTATATCGAATTATTAAATTGAAAAGAGTATGATCACCTTTATAACAACTGCTATCTAATTACAAATAATGTTGATACCAGAATGGTAGATATTATTGTGAGAGTTTAGAAATCTAATCACTGATTTTAAAATCGCACAATTTCAAAACAAATTTCAACCCCGAGATACCGAACTCCAGAAAAAGCAATTGTTCGTACGTTCAACGTCAAGAAGCATGGATAATTACTCGTAAAAAGATAAAAGTTAGCACCTTCCCGGACAACGCACAAAAAGAAGTATATTTTTAGCCGGAGAGCTTAATGAATTTAGTATCCTGCTTCTACTATTGTTCATGTGACAGTGTTGCGTGCCTGGTATGCACAAACTATCAACTTATCGAAAACAATTTTGCCGAGAATAAATCCATTGACAGTAGGATATATAAAACGTTATCATTGCGAAGAGAGTGGCGCGATTTAAGAATATGATTTACCGACTACAGAAACTACCGGCAGTACAAATAATTTTAGCTAATAGCTATCTCGACTGGGCAAGGGTGTATTTCCTGTCACCGTGGCTGCAATTAAACCGAACAACCGAAATTATTTGCTAGACTGTTCATCTTTAGAATAAAATTAGAGGTATCATTAACTTTACAGAATCAGAATTGCAAAAACTTATCTCTATTTTTGCAGAAAAAGGCAATTTTTGCATATCATACTGCATGTATGGATAATTTTTTAATATGTCCGTCCTAAGAAAAGCAAATACATGTCAGCACTGTAAAAGCACTAACTAAGCTCCAATAAAAAAGCTGAGTGTGAATTGCACTCAATTAACTTTTTCGTTTGTTTCCGGTCAGTTATAAACTAACAATGATTGCAGAGATATTACTGGAACAAACGCACGATCGCAGCAAATCTACTCCGTTATTTGGGCGGAGCCAAAATACCGTTGACAGGCATCATGCTTATGTGAACCGTGCGATTAGCTGGATCATTATCTTCTTAATTAGCTAGACCATTATCTACTAGATTAGCTAGGTCATTCTATACAGCGAGTGTAACAAGTAATACAAACACAAGATATGATGAGAAGTAAACTGTTCGTTCAGTAGACTAAACGATAAACATATTATATCTATAGAAGATATGGCAGATATATAGCAGATATAGCAGATATAGCAGATATAGCAGATATAGCAGATATAGCAGATATAGCTGATATAGCAGATATAGCAGATATAGCAGATATAGCAGATATAGCAGATATAGCAGATATAGCAGATATAGCAGATATAGCAGATATAGCAGATATAGCAGATATAACAGATATAGCAGATATGGCAGATATAGCAGATATAGCAGATATAGCAGATATAGCAGATATAGCAGATATAACAGATATAGCAGATATAGCAGATATAGCAGATATAGCAGATATAACAGATATAGCAGATATAGCAGATATAGCAGATATAGCAGATATAGCAAATATAGCAGATATAGCAGAAATAGCAGAAATAGCAGATATAGCAGATATAGCAGATATAGCAGATATAGCAGATATGGCAGATATAGCAGATATAACAGATATAGCAGATATAGCAGATATAGCAGATATGGCAGATATAGCAGATATAACAGATATAGCAGATATAGCAGATATAGCAGATATAGCAGATATAGCAGATATAGCAGATATAGCAGATATAGCAGATATAGCAGATATAGCAGATATAACAGATATAGCAGATATAGCAGATATAACAGATATGGCAGATATGGCAGATATAGCAGATATAGCAGATATAGCAGATATAGCAGATATAACAGATATAGCAGATATAGCAGATATAG